GGACACAAGTGTACACAGAAAATGCATCTGTTTATTACATACTATATACACACAGTCTGAAGATAATTCTATACAACACTTTTAGTAACATTGTACCTAAGGATTAAATTTCATAGGGTAGGAATGAATATTCATTTATTATTTAAGTTGCCACTCAAAAACATTAGGATTTGTGACTTTTGATTTTCAGATTATAAATGGTCAAACTGCATTACATATAAAGGCTTTTATACTGAAGTGTATCTTAGTTGTAAACTTACCCATGAACTCCCAGGGATGATACCTGAAAATATTAAGGTTAAGGTTGAGGGCTATAGGACCACAATGAACACCTTTTTAATGAGTACAAAGTTCTGAGTTTGATCCCCAGCACTTTGAGAGAAAGAGAAAAAATAAGCAAGCCAAAAGTCCCTATAAATCTCAAAAGAGAAGGCAGTATGTGGTTAAGTCATCTTCCAGATCATGGCTGTTGGACAGGAGAGGAAGGTAGGAAGGACCTGCAGGTATCCAGCATGGTCTTTCTATTGTCAGAAGCTTACACAGAGCCACCAGAGAGCATGCTTCATCACACTGGACTAGCCAGCCAGCCTCCACTCTGCAGCTTTACCTGCTCTGGAGGCACAAGTGAGAATCCCAGGCCTCCAACTGAGCATTAGCAGCGGTGACAATGATGGCAGGGTGATAAGGACCAACAGGGCTCTTTCTGTGCCATGTGCTTTAGGAGCGCCTTGTTAATGGCAGTTACTCAGGCCTAATTACTTGGCTCTAAACCCTGCAAGGAAGTCAGTGAGGGGTGGGGCTGCCCACCAGCACAGCCCTGGAATGGGGCTGCAGCCACTCCCCAGGGGACGTGGTCAGCATGTCCAGGATAAGCGTACGTGCGCATTTCAGTCCCGGCTGGGATAAAAGCCTCTATGGAGGCCAGACGCAAATCTTTATAGAGTCTGAAGACAAATGTTACAGGCTTCCTATGCCTGCAAACCAGAGACCCCTTTATATATACCAACTTTCTGCTCATCCAAGCTGTACCTTGTGAGTTTACGCTATTCCACAAACTTCTATTCTTCAAAGGGAGTTAGTTAACTTGTTCAGACTCAGAATTGTAGTGACTTGTAGAACCAAGAGTAACAAAGGAATTGCTGGTCAAGCAAATCATAAAGGAAATGCCATGGTGAGAAAGGCAATTCCTCTAAGTACATATTCTCATTGCTCCGGTAGATGTGAGCAACAAGAAGTCCTGTTTCGCTGGGCTCAGATCAAGTAACAAGCAACTCCAATTTAAGATCTGAACAATCAAGAAAAAAAAAATCTTCCCAAAATCTAAGGAGAAGTAAATGGCTGAAATTAAAGAATACTCTAGCACAGGGAGAAAAAAGAAAAAAAAAGAAAAAAGAAAACCTCCTCTTGTCCACCTCTAGAGCAGAAAACAGAGGCACCTCTCTCTCCCTCCCTCTCCCTCTCTCTCTCTTTCTCTCTCTCTTTCTCTCTCTCATGCGCTTTTTGGTAACTTTAGAAAATGGTTTTGTGGTTGCTATCTCAAAGGACAAGCATGACATTTTCACTCCATTTTTATAAACGGGCTTTCAATCTGCCTTTTCATTAGCATACAAATCCTGAGGAATACAGCCCAAGTCCCAAAGCACCCATTTGCCAGCTCTCCAAGGTAATCTGACTACCTCAAAATTTCCCCATAATCTCCCCTATTTCTAATTTTTTTTTTTTTAAAAAAAAAAATAAGAAAATAATGACTGCAGTATCAGACTTTGTAGGATGCAGCCAAAACAGTGCTTACAGGGAAACGCCTAGCTTTAAATCCTTGTATTAGAAAAATGAGGTTTAAAAAAAATCTGTGCTCTAAGATTTTTATCTTATAAATTCTTAAGAAATAAAAAAATTCCTACAGCTTTAGGATGAATCTGAAGGCACAACAGATGTCTTTGTTGAAGCGAAGTTCAGTTTCCGAACACTGTAAAGTCTGTGACTTCGATGGAACATCGAAATCAAAAAGCCAAAAAAGGAGAAAAATAAACTTCTACAGGCAAGTAAAAAATAAAATGGTGGGTAAAAACCCAAAAAGAAGAAAAAAAGAAAAAAAGAAAAAAGGAAAAAAAAGAAAAAAAGGAAAAGAAAAAATGCCCCCTCCCCAAAAATCAAAAACAGCTTCACTAACAGAAAAGATTTAAATTTGAACATATGACCAACCACCTAAATTAAAAGCAAGTAATATTTTCTCCTTCCAAAGCTGTACTGCTGTGGGTTTTTGTGAGGGGGATTTCTGCAGGGAGGAGGATTTGGTGCTGGAGTTAAAGCCAAGGCCTCATCATGGCTCTCTACTGAGCTCCTTCGTCTGCCCTCCATGTTGTTTTAACGGACTGAGAAACAGACACTGGATTATGTACAGGCTTCCCCCTCCTATGAAGGTGCCAGCACTGAAATGTCGGACGGTTAGCACTGAGTCTCCATAGATGGACAACTGCCCACAGCGTAGTCTCTCACACATTGAACACACTTTTAAGCAAATAGGTTTTCCAAATTATACCATTTATAAAATCTTAATTTTTAAAAAAAGATATACCAATCAAGAATTTATACAGATCTAAAATGAGCTAAAGGCACATGGATGTCCTGGTTCAACCAAAGTTTGGCTTTGAAACACTGTAAAGCCTCTGACCCAGCGGGTTCAGCAGCATCCTAAGGTTTGAGTTGGATCTTTGGTTCTGATTTTGTTCTTCTTGCCCAGTGGAGGCTAACTGGACAGACACAGCTGCTCTGGCTTCACTCACACCAGTGACCACCATACAAAGTCCTAGACAATTAGCCATCAAAAATCTGCCCTGCTTTCTGGTTCCCTAGTCCACCTACAAAATCCACTTTGACCAACCCAACATTGCCTCAAAAGCAATGTAGGCCAAATAATGTGTAGTAAGTGATTTAAGGGCCACACAACGTTTTAATTTTAATTATAATGAACAAAGTTACCATATCAAACTCATACTTTCATGAGCATTCAAGTTTCTTATCAAAATAAATGAGTGTGTAAGTATAAAAAAAGAAGAAGAAGAAAACCCAGTGATAATTGCTTGGTCTACGTGGCATTAATCTTGGAAGGCTGGAAGCAACTGGTCTAAGAAACCAGGCCCCGTCCTCCATTTGCTCTGCTGTGTGTCGAACAGGGTGTCCCTCCTCCACACCATTTCTTCTAGAAGTGGACGTGCTTTTGCAGATGTGTAAAGCTCAGGAGGTCTCCCTCGAGCTTTGTCCTTTGTTAGCTGGTACGGCCTGAGGCATACCAGTTAACCTCCTGAGCCTTGGTTTCCAGACCTGTAAAATGGGGACCGTGGGGGCCACGGAGTGGCTAAAAAGCAACAGGACTTTTGAAAGTGCCTTGTAAACTGCGAAATGCTACCTAAGTATCAGTGGCTACACTTCTCAGTTACGGCAACGCCTGCTGGGCTGCAACTCCCGTCTGTCCTCAAATTCCCTCCCTGTAATGTGGGAACTGGCCCGTGCTGTCCTCTTTCAAATGTTCCCAGTAAAACTAAAAAAAAAAAAAAAGTATGTTCAGAAATCTTAAATTTTGATTTTTTTTTAAGACAAAAATTTGGTAGGGAAGAGTCATTTCTGGGAGCACATTTGATCGCAGCACTCTTGGTGAAATTCTCTAAGACTCCCTCATCCATTGGCTTACACAATTCCCTCAGCTGCAGAAATCCAGAACTCGAGGTCCACTTTTGTAAAATAGGAACCTCACTAAAATGTTAGCCTTGTCTGTGCCCGCGGGGTGCGGTGTGTGTGTGTGGGGGGATGTTAACGACTAGACTTCTGGTAAAGCAGAGCGAAACGTTAAACTGAGCACCATTTCTAAAACTCAGGGGCTCCAAATGGCTGAATCAGCATTTTCTGAAACAAAGTCTTCTGGGCCTGGCCTTTTAAACAGCCGCAAAGGGAAAGTTGTGCAATAACACATATTTACTCACTAATGCTACTTGTTTTGGACTTTTTCTTTGCATCTCTTGAATGAAACAGTTACAAGAAAAGAGTTTTTCAAAAAACATCCCAAAGAACCAGAGCCTTGTAAAAATCACCTGTGGCTCTCCTACTTTTCGGTCAAAGCTAATGAAAAGAAGTTCGCGGGGTTTCTTCCAACGCCAAGAATAGACAAATACATTTTTTTTAAAAAGTGAAGAATACCCTAATTTCCATAACGCACATGCCGCAGGCCCTCGCCAGGCAGGCGTTTGGAGAGGCAATCAGCAAAGGCGGAGAGTTGCATCAGAAATTTCCTTCTGCAAACGGTACCGCTCTTATCACGTTTCCACCGCTGGCGGGCTGCTAGTTCGCGAGCCCTCAAACTTGGTGTTAGGCCCCAGCGACGGGTAGCGGGGCCACTAACAGACCCGAAGAAAGAAAGGGGTGGGGGTTGGGACTTGTGGGGTGGGGTGGGGGGGAGGGACAGATCCTCGGTCCGCGGCCCGGGCCGCGCTCGCTTGGGACTTGGGAGTGTCTGGCACCGCTGCCCGGTCCGCCTGGCGCGCGCGCCGAGGCCCGGGGCGCAGCGGGAGCACCCGCCGCTCCAGTGACCCCCGGGAGTCCTCCCTCCAGGGCGGTGGCCCCCGAAAGCGCGGCCTTGACCGCAGCTCCCGCCCGAGCCCCCAGAGCCGTCGCCGTCGGACAAGACGGCTCAAGAATGTGCCGCCCGGGGCCCCGCGCCTCCCCCCGGGGGTTGGAGCGCAACTGAGAGCGTCGCGGGGAGCCGCAGCCGCGCGCCCGCCGCCCCGTCCCGCCATCCCGCGCCGCCCCGCCGCGGGCCCGGGGCGCCGCAGCCCCCCAGTCCCCCGAGGCGACGCCCTTCCGCCCGCCGCGCCTCACGGGGCCCCGCGGCCCGATCGCGGGCGGCCCCGAGCGCAGACAATGACGGCGCGGGGAGCCGCCCGGCCGCCGGGCCCCGCGAGGCGCGGACCACAAAAGTAACTTGCCGCCGCTCCCCGCCCAACTCCTACCTGACGTGCAGCTCCTCGTCGCCTCCGCGTGGCCGCTGGCCACACGTTGCACGAGTCTCTGCGGAGAAAACCCGAAGGAAAAGACGGACACTGGACGGTCCCAGTCGCCGTGCGTGCGCGAGACGGTGCGCGGAAAGTTCGTGCTCCCGTGGGTCTCGGAACGCGAATCCCGCCCGCCACTGGTCGCAGCGCTCTTCCCTTCCTGCCGCCTCCCCGCACCCCACCCCCTCGATGGGCTTTAAACTCTTCGGGCCCCGCCCGCCCTCCCCGCCTCCGCCGCCGCCTCCGCCTCCTCCTCCCCCGGCCGCTTTTCCTGCTCCTCCTCCCGCCGCCGCCCGGACCGCTCGGCGGCCGCCAGCGCGGGAGGAGCCGCGGCCTGGGCGCAGGGCGTGGCGCGGGGGGCGCGGGCTCGCGGGGTTGGCGTGGCACGATGCTCTCCCGCCCCGGCGGGCGCGCGCCCACCATGCTCGCAGCGCGCGGGACCCCCCGGCGCCACGCCACCGCCCGGGTGCGCGGCCGCGCCGGCGGAAGACCGACCGGACCTGTCCCGAAGGGCCACTCGGAAGGGAATTGTTCGAAACTCAGAAAAGTACTCCCCAACAGCACAGTTCAAATTCATCCTGGGCTGCGGCCGTCCGACCCCGTCGTGGGCAGCCCCGGGCCCGGACAAGGAAACTCGGGCTTGCTCACGGCGGGTCGGGTCCGAGCCTCACCTTTCTCTGCCTCAGTTTCGCCAGCTGCGTGTGAGTAGCCGAAGGAGGGAAGCCTGTAAGGCCCTTCATTGTTTTCTTGAGGCAGCCGAGCAAGCCTCGTGTCCTTTACCTCTGAAGTGGGGCCCTCCTGAAAGTAAAGCCCAGACGGGCCATGCCCGGTTTCTAAAGTGACCCACGAAAAGGCAACGGGGCTAATGTGATCGGCCCCTTCGAAATAATTCTTAATGTCTATGTTGTGTCGCTTTTCTAGTACAGATAGGATACCAATAATTACACATTTTTCTTGAGTTTCGGCTTTGTAAAAGTAGCCCCGACCGTAAATCACTGTAGTCGAGAAGACACGTGGTGTGAAACATTCGTGAGTTATCCTTCTCCCTAACTCAGGCCTCTGAGGTTGTTGCTGGAACAACTTTAGAAAGTAGAGAGACTGAGTCTTAAAAGTAACTTTTAAAAAGTGACTTCTAGAAGGTCGAGAAGCTGGGAGTGAGTGAGCTCGGGGCAAGGATTTGAAAGCTGTGCTGTGCATATTGTCCCGACGCACTTTTTGAGCGCTGCTCGGTACTTCTTGCTTCTAACAGTGGTTTTTCCGTCCTCATATTGATGTAATCAATGAAAAGTTTTTTTTCTTTCCTAAAACTGAACACTCACTCTTGTTTCTGGCCGTTGGTCCAGACTCAGAAACCCACAAGGTGAAAATCCAGAGAAAAGGATGTGAATAAGTCTTAGATTCCCGGGGAAAGGAACACAAGACGTCTTTTGTAGACAAAGGACTCAAAATCGAACCAAAGCAGAGAAAACTGGGCTAACTTTTCCCAAGTTGATTTGCTTCAAACTTTTTAGTTTTCCTGCGGGGTCTCACCAGCGATCCATACTGCTCCAGACACAAAGCCTGTCAGGTCAGAGAACTTTTACAGATGTTTGAAAGTTTCTACATACTTTCGCAATACCTTTTCCCCCCTGAATCGATTTGTTGGTAAGTTCCAAACAGTGTGGACCCTTCAGCCCTCTACATATTGATATTGCCTTCCCAAACATGGAGATGTTTTCTTATATAACAACCACATACCTTTGAAATCCACGGATTTGTATTGGTACGAAACGTGTATTTAATCTAGGCTGAATTCTGTTCTTTTTGTTTTTAGTTTATCTGATAATTTAGAGCATTCTTTTTCCTTACAAGATCGGTGTAGTGATCTAGATGAAAAGTTTAATCTGTTTTTCAGGCATTACTTCTAACTAGAATGGTATGGAGATAAATATCAAGTATTTTCTTGGTGTCAAAGCCCTGGACAGGCCCTCACCCCCAAATTTCCTGGTTCCTTGTAGACCTCAGCCGGTAGGGACCCATATAGCACCATTCTGAATGAAGGTTTTGGCCTTAACGTTCTTGCTGTAGCATTAGGGTTACAGTTAACTCCAGCCGGGAGGGAGGTCCTGGCCATTTCTTCCAGTAGACTACGTTACTGTTACTACCATCTCATCTCCAGACTCTCAGCGCCCCCTGCCCATACATTCTCCCAACAGAGGTATTACAGACCCACACACTGCAAGGTTAGCAGTGTATAAATGAGCCTGGAGAACCCAGCCTCCTGGGCAAGACAGGATGGCTTTGTAGCTCACAAACTTCCCAAAGGAGTAATGCATGAACTAGACTTGGGTGTTAAGGTAGGAAACAGGATTCCCTGGTCGTGAGAAACTCCATTATCCAAGCATGAGCTTCAGGAGGCTCATTCGGCTGAAAGTAGAGAATCTGAAAGATTTTAAATGTCGATCAGTAGTGAGCTGATTAACATCTGTCTCCCTTGCTGATTGTAGGAATTGTGTCACTGGTAACTATTTACCTTTTGCTAGTGTCCTGTAGGGAGCAGGGGGCCCCTGGTCAAAAGAAGGTACTAAATGGAGTAAGTCATTGGAAAACTAGCAGTCAAATGAATGTCTTCGTAGTGTAAATGAGTGGAGTAAGGAACGGAGTGATCTCTGAGCCCCAGGCATCGTCTCAAATGTTGCCAGTAGCTTTGGCAGAGGGAAAGCATGGAGGGTAAATGGCATCCTGACAGATGCTAGTCATGCTGCTCCGTCCTCACTGCACATGGTGCCTTCTGGAATAGCTTAAAAGGCAGAGCTGGAAACCAGAGACCAGCCAGTCTGAGGACAGTCCAACAGAACACCCTGGTGGGTCAGTGAGTGATCTGCAGTCGTAATGAAATCACAGTGTGTTATGATTTGTATATGAAACGCCACTCACAGTCCTGTCTCTCTTACAGACTCCTGTATTGAGCACTGATCTTTACCAGTGGTGCTGCTTCAGGAAGGAGGTGGTAGGCACTCAGGAGGTGGAACCTGGATGAATCCTGAAGTAGGTCTCCTGACATATAACTTTAAAGGTAATACCTGCTTCTCATCCCATCCTCTTTTTCCTTTCTGACCATCATGATCGGAGCTTGCATGCTTTCCCTGCCGTGATGGAAGGAATCCTTTGAACCCGTGAACTCTAAAAAAACAAACAAACAAACAAAAACCAAAAAAAACCAAACCAAACAACAACAACCCCCCCAAAACCCAACAACAACCAAACCCAACCAACCAACCGAAAAACAAAACAAAGGAGAAACCAAAACAAAAAAAAAATCGTTCTCTTGTGTTTCTAAGGTTTTTAAAAACACAGGGATACAAATTCTGGCATAGTGGTTGCCCCGGAAACCCAGGAGACTATTTACACCTGGTTTCCACATCCGTCTAGGTGTCACAGAAGCACCTTCATGGGTTGGTCCTATTTCAGGATCCTTCTGCCTTAGTGTCTGTAGAGCTGAGGTTAACATATGAATCTCAAATCCCAACTTGATGTGCACTTTTAACCTTCTATGCACACATGCACATGAGTAGACCAAATGCTTCAGGTCTCTGAGCTATTTAAGACGCAGAGAGACAGCTTTTCCAGAGTCTAGAGATGAATAATCTGGTGGCATTCAGAATTTTTCTGGCTGAGGCAGTGACTCCAAAGGATCTAGAACCTCAAACTTGGAAGGTGAGGCAAAGAGAAACCTAAAAAGGCCCAAAGACTTTTGGGAGCTGGAGCTGCTGCTCGGGAAATGGGAGGAGGTGAGGCTGAGACTGGAGAGGGAGATGAAGAGGTAAGGGGCACTTTACTCATTAGGCTCAGGCATTTGCATTTACCCTAATGCCACTAGAAGATAATGTGTGTTATGGACTGTCCCCAACAATCCTGGCTTTCTTGATCTCTGACGGATGAGGATAACACCTTGAACGAGGGGTCTGTATCCCAGGCATGTTATCCAGTGGGCAGAGAGACAAGCTGAACCATCAGATGCTATACCTAAAATTATAGACTGGAAGTATTGATGCAGGTCAGGACAAAGGAAACTACATGAGAACGACAGAGTGGGACTTGGTGGACACAAATAGGACCCTTCACTTCCCACCTTCTAGGCTTGGGACAGTATGATGTTCTCTGTACTGTCTATATAATTCTGTTTTCTGACATCTTAATATAAACTCTACTTTTCTTGAATAGCTAAACTGAAGGACTTTTCAAAGTAAAATGGGAGAGCTCTCTGAAAAATATACCCTGAAACATCTATTGAGACAGTTTGCTGACAGGAAAATTCACTCTTTGTAAAAAGTACGTGTGTGGAGTTTAGAATGGTACACAGTTGTGTAACCGGTAAAGATAGTGGACAGTATTGACCCCAAAAGGTTGCTTCATACCCCACCCTTGAAGTCAACCCCCACCCTACCCCACCCCCTGGGCCCCACATCAGATAACCACCCACCTGCCTTCTGACCTTGTGGTTTTGCTGTTGGAGATGGATGAAATAGTACAGAAAGTCACTCCACATGGTGTGGATGATATTCACCTGTGTTGTTTCCCAAATTTAGACCGTGTTCCTTTGAAATACAGATTAGGATTCCACAGTACGGATGCGTGTCCATTTCTCCACTCTTTCACTGGTAAGGAGAAATTTGGGTCAGTCTCCGTTTTAGGCAATTATGAATAAAATTGCTAGAATTCTTTGTGAAAAAGCTTTCTGTGGAAACACAAGTTTTCATTTCCCTTGGGTAAACAGCTAAGCAAAACAGAGAGGTCTTGTGGTGTGTTTTTATCAGAAACTTCCAAATTATGTTCAAAGTAATTATACCATTTGTATTTGCACCCAAAATCACGACCATCCCAGCTGTTCCACATCCTCCTGACTTTGCTCATCAGTCTTCTGATTTTAGCCATCCATATTAGAGGGTAGATGTATGTCCTTCCTGTTTTTAGTTTGCATTTCCCTCATAGTTAATATGGCCACATTTTCCTGTACTTACTTTTTTGGATCTGTCTATTATTTTGTAAAGTCTGTTCAAATCTTGTTCAAGTATTGTTCATGCTTGTTTTGTGTGTCCCATTTAAGAAACCCGTGCCTTGCTCCATACCACAATTATTCTTCTAT